GAAAACCTATTTTTGAAGCAGGTTTCAAATCCTAGCTTATACACATACTTTTCATTAGATAGATGACTTAATCTCCATAAATAACTCAAATTTTACACCAAACATAATATATCTGAAAGAACTTTTAACAACAAAAAAGTAATAGTAATGATCTTCATGCTAACTATTTAGACTTAAGACATTAATTTAGTAGAAGACAAAACAAAAGCTAACTATTTTTGACAAAAGAAGAATTAAATTTTCCTATCTTTTATGGGTAATGTTGAGTACAAGTTTTTCACACTGTTTTATGATAAATATGAAAATATTTTGAAACAAACTTTTGATTAAGAAAAATATCTTTTATGTCACTAGACATTTAAAAATTTAAAATTATAATTTTATTCAGTATACCAGGACAGAAAGACTAACTTCAAGTAACTGGGCTTTAAGATCATTTAGTTTTGATTTAATTTTAAATTTCTTTTGTAAGGGTGGAGGTTGGGAGTTTCATATAGTAGAAATTTTAGGGTGGTTTTATTTCTACTTTATGACTTTAATAACTTTTAAGGGTATCTGCCTTCCCACAACTGGCTGTAGACAGTGAAGGGTAGTAGGAGATGAGATATTGTGGGTGTAAACACTGAACTCCATATCCTTAATTAATTAATTGATTTTCCATGTTACCTGGCTTGTTTAACATCGATGCCTGGATTTTGTCCGATAGATGGGATATTCCCAACACATTTGGGAGCTATTACCGCATGCATTATCTGCTATGACCAAGGTCAAACTAGGATCGACAAACCTATCGAGTTCAGGTTTATTACAAACTCTTTAAATAGATTTATTAAATCTGTTTCTATAGTACTTAATAATATTTTGGATATGTTATTTGAAAAAAATACAGTTACCATCTTCAAACGATTCTAATCATTATTTCTGAATCATAAAAAAAAGAATATTCCAGTTATGAATTGTTTAAATAATTTAAACTTATTACAAACAGCCAACTCTGCGATTACCTATGATTTCACTATTTTATATACTAAAATAGATCTGAAAGATTTAATTAGGGTCTTTAATTGTTTACTTGATAATTTTTATATATGCAGAAATAATTATTTCACAACATAAATTCACTGAGTATCAATGTAAAAATATACTTAGTTTTTGTATTTATAATAGTTATATCACCTTTAATGAAGAAGTTTATAAACAAACATTGGGTATTCCAATGGGTACTAATTTCTGTATCTTTCTCTGTGAATATTTCTTCTTAAAGCATATTTTAAACCCTAATTTATATTTGTATACTTTTTGTTACCTAGACAACTTAATTTCACTTAATAATCTGCATTTTGATCCAACAGAACTTATAATAAAAAGAAGTAATAACAGTAATACATATGCTCATTATTTAGACACATTAATTCAGCAGAAGGCAGTATACAGTTGACTATTCTTGATAAGAGAAGGTAATTTGATTTTCCCATCTTTGGTTTACCCTCCCTAACAACAATATTCCATCTGTATTGTTGAAATGGATAATTATATCCCAGTGAAAAAGATTTTTAACAGTTTGTAATAACAGCAATTCATTTATACATAATGTTAATTTATTGAAAAATAACCTGTAAAATTAATTTTTTTTTTTTTTACTTTTTATGATACACATGAAACTGTTAAGTTCTTATTCACAGAATGAAAACATGACTGTCCAAGAACTTGCACAGCAAGCCAATATGTGTAGTGTGATTGGGATGCATTCAGACCTTACCTTGCATACTCACCATAACTCTACTGAGTAGGCCCTAGCTGCAGGAAAGTGCACTTTAATTATTCAGTATGGTTTCATATGGTATACTCACCTCTACTCAACTGAACAGGAGGAGGGCACAAGTGTCTCATTACCCCACTTCTCACTGTATTGTGCTATGTTTAATTGGAAAGGATTCGGCATGGTCCACCACCCTAGCAGCTAGGAACTGTAGATTCGCATTCCACCCCGAAATTTGTTAAAATAATTGAAAACAAGCTATGTAGTTTACAGAAAAACCAACACATAAGTCATGAAACTTTACAATTCCTTTCACTTAAGCACCCAGTTCTTGGTCGCTTTTACATGTTACCAAAGGTACACAAACCTAAAAATCCCGGTCGTTCCTATTATTTCCAATTGTGGTATGCCCACCGAGAACTCATCTGCTTTTGTTGATCATCACATCAAAGATATCCCTCCATGTTTGACGTCATATATTAAAGACACAACCCATTTTTTGAACATGATTTCTGACAATAACAACAACAGAAAATTACCTCCAAACACTATTCTCTGCACCATGGACATTTCTTCTCTTTACACAAACATTCCCCACGATGAAGGCCTGAAAGCTCTTGAATCTTCCATTTTGAAACTTGACAAACCCACCACTCAGACTATTGTAGTCTTAGCTAAACTAGTTCTTACATTTATCAGATTTGAATTTAATAATGAATTCTATACTCAAAGGGCACAGCTATGGGGGACCAAGATGGCACCAAATTATGCCAATGTTTTCATGGGAAACTTAGAGATGAGACTGTTGGAAAGTTATAAAGAGAAATCAAACATTTAGAAATGATACATAGATAACATTTTTTTCATTTGGATAGGAGACAAAGACTCCTTACTATCTTTCTATAGACATGCAAACTCTTTCCACACTTCTATTAAATTTACTCTAGATTACTCCACTACTCAAATAAGTTTTTTAGATGTAAACCTGACATTAAAAGATGGTTTCCTACATACTGATCTGTACCGTAAACCGAATGATAGACCACAATACTTAAATTTTCAAAGCTGTCACCCTTCACACACCAAACGAAGTATTACATTCACATTCAGTCAAGCACTTAGATTAAAGAAAATCTGCTCTGACAGTAAGAACTATGACCATCACATTGATTCTTTGAAACTAACTATAACCGAAAGAGGGTATAAACAAAACACTGTGATTCAACAAGTTGACAAAGCTAACAATATTCCACGTGTATTTGCCTTGAAACAGTCACCTAAAACAAATTCTTCTCATGTTCCGGATACTGAAAAAGCACTTTTATCTCCTTCAACTTAATGATAGACTAAAGATTCTTTTTACAGAAGTTCCTGTTGCTTCTTTTAATAAAAATAAGAGTTGGAAATCCCAATTAGTGTACGCCAAATTTAACTTTAATGCGACACCTGGTGGAAGTTATCCCTGCAATGGCAAACGTTATCAAACATGCAAGTTCATGCAGCAGACTAACAATTTCTCTGATAAAGACAACCAAAGACAGTTCAAAATCAATAAACCCATAACCTGCACTACAAAAAATGCTATTTACTTAATCCAGTGCCGATACTGCAACTTCCAGTATGTAGGCCAAACTAAAACAACCATATGGGAGTGGTTTAATAACCACAAATTTTCAATCAAAACAAACAAGGAACTTCCGGGTTGCAGAGCATTTTAACATACCTGACCACTCTCTTGACGACATGATATTGGCAGGTATAGAGACAAGTTTTACATCAAACATAAACAGGGAAATTAAAGAAGCTTATTGGATACCACTGTTAAATACTGTAACGCCAAATGGCATCAATCTCGATCCTTGTATTGTTGTCCTTCGAGCATCTCTAAAAAAATTCCGAATAACTTGTACTTAATTCTATAAAACTTTATTATTATTATTATTATTATTATTATTATTATTCACATTTATATTGTTTCTATTTCTCTACATTATTATTATTTTATTATTTCAGGTATCGACTTACATTATTATTTTCTCTAGCTCTCATCTTCCTATGTATTTTATTTTTCTCTATCAGTCAAAAGTTTCATACATACTGAAAATTAATGATAATTTTTTGTTTTTTCTCTACAAACGAATTCTCCCTACTGGGAGACTAACGGCTTAAGTTGCTTGAGTTGGGATTGCCTGGTCACCAGATTCAACTCAACTGGGACTTCCGGTTTACATGACGTCACACATCCTACTATATATTGTATTGCGCAGGCTAAAGGTCACCCTTTGTTCTCCTGAAGAAGAATAGTCAACTATTCGAAAGCGTTCGAGTTTTGGGTCTTATTTTACGTCTATAAGTAGTAGAGATCATTCCCTTTTATATATATATATATATATATATATATTTTATTTTATTTACTGTTCTATGTTTTAAGAAAAAAGCACTGAAATTTAAGAATATATTTGTAAATAGTAATATTACATACACATAAAAGTCACTGTATTTTACAAAATACTGGTACTAATACTAAGAAGATTAAGATATTTTTACTTTGTAAAGGCTAATTTTATGCTATTCAATATAGTAACATGAGCTGCACATACACTGCATGACTTACAATTAGTGTGGTGGGATTATTAGTTAGACACAATTTAACTATATCGCCACAGATATCCTTTACTGTGCATGACATAAGGTTTTAGTGTCTTACATTAACAATTTTATTAAACTACTTTTTGTTTGTTATAGCAATTAGAATAGCATGAAATCTTAGCTAATAATCCATATTTTAATCTCTTGAGTTGCTCAAGCCAGGAGCAGAACCTTCTTTTTTATTTTTGTGAAACAAATTTTTACCGAAGTACAATGTCTCTAAGAAGTCTTGTAGTTTTATAAGCAAGTAATACATTCTGTTGTAAATAAGAATAAGTCTCCTTACAAACCCTTTATTATTTCTATATACAAGTAAAAATATTCTAAGACATAAACTACATAATTCTAAGTATGTTTTCTATCAATGACATTAACTTTTCTTCAAGTATTTACTGCACCCAGATGATATTATATGAAACATTTTTATATGGACATGATTTTGAAAAATGATAGAGGACATTTCTTTAATGGACAAGAACTGATTTTTTTCTATTCTCTGCAAATTTGAATGTTTACATTTTGTTCTCTTTTAGTGAAGGTTTTTATTTAATAACCAAATTACTAAGCACATAAGTAGACTAAGTCATCTTACCAATGCTGCAAAATATTCAGTTTCAGTTTCTTTTCCCTCTTTTATCTTGATAACTTCTGTAATAGCTGCCAAAACAGCTAACATCTCCTTATGATGTGCAGAGCTTGCCTGCCAGTTCTTCAGTAATCTTTATTAAAATATTACCAACTTAATCTCAAGCTAAATTCAATGCATTCACTACTATAAAATTAACATTACAGCATTGAAGTAACTATAACTGTTTAGGTCTCTAGGTCTCTCAAAATAATCCAATGATCAGTTTCATTATGAATTTCCACCAACTTTAGGAACCAGTCAGCAAACAATGGTTATGATGTTCTCTACTGATACCTAAACATAGGTCAAAGTAATTCACAATGTAAAACTAGCCACTTAAAACTGTCCATGTAGAGAAGAAAAAGGAAATTAACAAAGCACTAATTAAGCTTATATTTACTAATAAAACTAAATATAAAATTTTATAGTCAAGGAAAAAATTAAATGAAGAATGAAAAAATTAATTTCAGGGTTTTCTTTTTATTGCATAGAAAATAATAGTGCAACAATGGTTTTTCATACTTTAAGTTTTAAAACTGAAAAGTCTATTTTTAATTCTGCAGAACTAAATAAAAGACGTAAACTCTTCTATGTTATAAAAGCAATAATTTAGTAAAATTTAGAAAAATTAAAAGCGAAAGTGAAATACATAAAAAAAACACTCAAAAGTTAAAAATTAATTATTTCAAAATGCTGAAACAGCATAACACAAAACATAAAAGCTAAATAATAAAACTTGATGACTTAGTAGTACTGTGACAAAAACCTTAGAAAAATGACAGTGAACAATTTTGTAAACTAGAAGCTGATTTTATTCCTATAATAATTTCAACAGTCACTTGAATGCAAGATAATAGAAATATTAAAATTTAAATTGAACCATTATCTGGTTTATAAAATTGCCATTACAAAAGTAACAAAAATAAGAAAAATTGATAATATGCTATTAAGTCTAATATTTGTGACAAAAAACATGTTAAATGCAGACATTTTGTTTTCCACACTCCTCTTAGTTTGTCCATTTTGGATTCAAAATTAGAGGCATGTAAAAATAGCATTTCAGATTTATCTTTGGTCCTCTCCAAAAGCCACTGCCCAAGAAGCCTTTCATTTAATACCAAAACATGTCAGTTGGGCTGGATGATGAGCCAAAAGATTCTCTGAAATGTTATGAAGCATTTTAGACTATTTTCAAATGCTTCAAGAAAGGAACACGAAAGGAGAAATATAATTCTATAAAATTCCATGTAAGATATACATACATGCAATATGAATAAAATTTGGCACATCTAATGAATGCATACGAGAAGTTAGACAAAGATGCTTGATAAAGGAAATGTATCTGTCCAGTATAGACTAAAATGGATTTCAGGCGATATGGAGAACCAACTGTTTACATTATCTATAAACCAACCCCACAGCAGCAAACAGAAAACTATGAGAAAAATTTATACAACTTTAAGAGGAATTAGAAGGAAATCAGAGACTCTTGTGGGACTTTGATTTGAAGAGGGCGAAGAGAAATACATGCAAATAGGCAGTTGCTTTACCATCTTCAATCAGAGCCAACTATGAATTAGTTTTGGTTTTAGTTCTAAAAATTCCGACGACTCAACAAAATTCACCAATCCTTAGCAGACATCATGAAACCTGAGACTGAGGCCTAGTGTTATAATTGCTGTCTCCTTATGGGGGTAAAATTATCAATCGCCATAAGATACCTGAATTCATATCAACAAAGTAGAATTCGGGAAACAGAAACATCTCAAAACTAAACAAGTAGAAACTTGAACTTGAAACTGATATGAATTGACGATCAAGCAAAATCAAAAATTGTCCAGTCATATGGAGAACGTAATAAACACGTCTATACATGAGAATGCCAATCGAAAAAGTGAGGATTGTGCCGCAAGGGTAGAGGGAACTACCTGCACTAGTACAGAGGGTGCAATGGGATTAGTGGAGGGTGGTCACATGATCAGCATATGTTGCTGCAATGATGCAAAAAATATAGGAGTATAAAAGATTGATGCACTTTTAAAAAGTTTACCAATGCCTAGAGGGCAAATGAAGGTTGAGACAGCTATTCGGGAGAGGAAGTAATATCATTTCTAAATAAATCTGTATAAAAACCCATGTTTTGGGGGTAAAAGTCAGTCTCTTGGCTCATGTCAAGAAGCCAAACAATCTGCTGCTGAATGAATATGCTGCCTGATCTCGAGCCCAGTACAACGTTGAAAATGTCCAAACATTTCTCACTCAACCTCCACGCAAGTAACTATTGCTATCTCTCAGAGTTAAATAGCTGTTAGGTTTTGGATGTACGATGTTTGATATCAAAAAATGAACAAAAGGTAAGTATGAGAATATTTCAATCAATGTATTAAATGATAACTTACTGATGGTATTAAGTAATTTAATGGATGTTAGAGAAAGTTTAATTGAAGATTGATGAATTTAATAGTTTCAAAAAAGAAACTATTCAAGGTACCTTCAGAAATTTTGATGTAACCAAGTATCATAACACACTGCATTAAAGTGTTTTTGTGTTTTGAATCTCAGTTTTAGAGTCAATTCTTTAGTCTAACTCTAAATTCCTCAAGTTAGTGACTTGTGTATTTCACTCGTGACTAAACCTGGAATTAAATAAATCTATTGAGAGCTGGATTAAGTCAAACTCCAAACAACTAGCCTAAACAGCATCCTTGACTTTCACAGTTATTTATATACACAGTACATTACTTAAATGTTATGATTTAAACACCAAAGGTTAAATGTCGAGCTGAATACCAAGAGACAAAAGATTCTCTGAAATGCTATTTAAATATGCAATAAAATATTTTTGGCTTTTTAAACCATAGCTTTTAAAGTATTATACTGCCTGTATAAATAGCATTTCAGAGATTCTTTGCTTTCTAATCTTCCAGCCCAACTAACTAGTTCTAGAATTTAACAAAAGGCCTCTTGAGCAGTGACTTGTGGGAAATAAAAGATAAATCTGAAATGCTGTAATTACACACCCTAATTTTGAATCATAAAATGGACATATTAAGACAAATGTGGAAAAACACATTTGCAGTTAATGTGACTTATCACAAATTGTAGGCCCATTAGTTTTTAAGGTTTTATCAGCTTTTGGCATTTAAACCAATACATTATAGTCCATGGGCCAAATATGGTCATTGTGCACACCCCACCCCATAACAGTATGAAATGGGTATATTTTTTGTTCCTTGGAGTCTAACAATCAATATAAACAATGTTACAAACAAATAAACTGAGATGAATTATCTATTTAGCCTGTTTATTGATAGGTGGGGTCTTTCCACTCATAATTCCATCTCTGGCACTCCAAAAACAAGGGGTCATGTTAGCTCATGACCTTATATGCCTGTTTTTATAAAATATTTCATTGAAAGCATTATAGAAGATACAGATGGAATGAATTTCCTTTCAATTAATGTATTATATGTACATATTTTAAAAAAAAAAAAAAAAAATACGCTTGGAAAAAATCAGATTAAGAGCAGAAAAACCCCACCTGTGAATAAACAGGACAATTATATAGTTGGTAAAATCACTTATATTGATCATTAGACTCCAAGGAACAAAAATACATCCCTTTCATATTGTTATGGAGCGGGGCAGGCAACCATATTTGGCCCATGGACTATTAGCAGTCTAATTAAAAGCTAAACTTTTCATTTCAAATTTTAAACAGGTCATTGCTACCTCTGGAAGGATGGGTTTGAACACTCAGACCAACAGGAAGCAAATGTGTTAATGGTTTTTCCTCCTTCACTTTTTGCCTCACTGTCTTCATCCATGGCAGTGGCATCAAAGGTACTCTTGTCTTTTTGTAAGGCATCATGTTGAGCTAAAGATAACTCAGTCAACTGACCATTACCTGGAATAAAACCAAAAAAATATTTTATTAACTTTTTTTTTATCTAAAGTGAAAAATTAACCCCAAAAAATCTATATGAAAACATACTTTTTGATAAACCCTATTCCAACCAGACAATTGTTCTCAGTTTTTAACATTCAAGTATGATTTTTAAGGTTGTACTCAAGTTTTAAAAACAAAAAACATTCCTCTATTTTGATTATTATATAACTCAATACCCCTTCCTATTAAATTTTTGTTTTTAAATGTTGACTGTAAAAAACAAAATTTAAGTTCATGTATATTACTTGCAGAAATCTGATAATTACAATAACATATTTGATGCCATTTAAATTTATCTGCAAAATTCTTATGATCACCAATTTTTGAAACTTATAATCCAAGTATAACACAAGAATGCCGAGACAAGCCCAGCTACTTGAAGTTAGATTTTCCATCCCAGTTATACGGAATAAAATTAATAGAAAAATTATTATTAGTTACTTATAAGCTAAAATAACTAACTCCCTCTATATTTTATTTATAAGATATTTTCCTTAATCAATAGTTTAGTTTCTAAAATATGTTTGTATTTATTAAAAAAATAATTAGTATATTATTTGTATTATATACATATATATATATATATATAAACACACACACATATATTGTGAATATTTCATCTAAATATGCAATAAGCTGAATAAAAAAA